CAAACCCTAAACCCTAAACCCTAAACCCTCACTTCTGCGTTGCCGCCGTCTTACCGGCTGTCCCTCCACCTGCTCTAGGGTTTAGGGTTTACGGTTTAGGGTTTAGGGTTTGGGCCTTGCCGCTTCAGCTGAAGGCTCCGCCGATACCTCAGCGGCGGGCCAGAGCCTCAACGGTTCCGGAATTAGGGTTTAGGGTCTAGGGTTTAGGGTTTAGGGTTTAGGGTTTAGGGTTTAGGGTTTAGGGTTTAGGGTTTAAGGATTTAGGATTTGCGGACTCTTCTCTCGGCGGTTTCGTTAGCTGGAATTGCAGCTCCAAAATAAAAAGTGAAATTAAAATAAATAAAGAAAAACAAACCCTTGCTTTGTTGAGCCGTACAGACACCCGAATGAACGATGACACAGCCAGCCGCATGCAGCAGCAGCAGCAGCAGCAGCAGCAGCAGCAGCGCAGCAGCAGCAGCAGCAGCAAGACAAGCTGCTGCGCCTATCTTTGATTAAATTCGAAATAAGTTTTTATCAATTTTTAATTTTTATTCTGGAACCAGAACCAGCAAAGCTGCGGGCCTGCGGGTGCCTCAAGCCCCAAACCCTAAACCCTAAACCCTAAACCCTCGGATAGGCTACTTCCCCCAAGACACCCCTGCAGCAGCTGCAGCTAGCTAAGCCTCGTCCCAGCTAGCTGCAGCTGTCCGCAGCTAGCTGCAGCTTGCTTCTAGGGCTAGGTGCAGCCACCATATGCTAACAAACCCTAAACCCTAAACCCTAAACCCTAAGCGCTGAACCCTAAACATAAACCCTAGCCCAGCTGCAGCAGCAAAAAGGTCAGGGGACAAATAGCCCGAGGTACGCAGGCAGCAACAGCAGGTGCTGCTGCTGCTGCATTGGTTGCTGCAGCAGCAGCACCAGGTGCTGCTGCTGCATTGGTTGCTGCAGCAGCAACAGCAGGTGCTGCTGCTGCAGTTGCTGCTGCTGCTGCAGCAGCAGCAACAAACAGGAAAGTAGAATGAAGCAGGGCATATATTCACCTGCCCAGCAGCTCGCTAGCTAGCTGCAGCAGCTAGCTGCAGCAGCAAGCTGCAGCTGCTGGCTGCAGCAGCAAGCTGCAGCAGAAAGCTGCAGCAGGAACCTGCTGCAGTGCCCAGCTAGAAACTATTTGCTGCCTGAAAGGCGTTCAGCTAGCTAGCTAGCTGCAGCTGGCTAGCCCCCTGCAGCTAGCTACCTATCCAGCTGCAGCTAGCTAGCCAGCTTGCTGCAGCTGACTAGCTAGCTGGCTAGCTAGCCACCTAGCTAGCTTGCTGCAGCTGACTAGCTAGCTAGCTAGCTGGCTAGCTAGCCACAGCCAGCTAGCTAGCTAGCTAGCTAGCTAGCCGCAGCCAGCTAGCTAGCTAGCTAACTAGCTAGCCGCAGCCAGTTGTTCTACCTGGAGAGATAGGGGCTGTGGCTAGCTAGGGAGCGAAACCCTCAAACCCTAAACCCTAAACCCTAAACCCCAGACGCGAAGCCACAAACCCTAAAACCTAAACAATTTGCCGCCACAAGGTGTTTTGAAGCAGCAGCAAAGGGCCCAGGGGCAGTTGACCTGCTGATTCTGCTGCTGTTGCTGCTGCTGCCTTTGGGGGTGCTTGTGTGGCACCTGCTGCTGTAGCTGTTTCCGCAGCTTCCGTTGTTGCTGCTGCTGCTGCTGCAGCTGCTGCTGCTGCACTGCCATGCGCAGCA